TCAGTCTGGATCTGCTGCTGCGAGAGAGGGAAGTTGCTGAGCAGAGAGCTGGAGGTGCAACCTGCATCTGGAGAGTGTCAGCCAGCCACACAGAAAGGTCAGCAGGGCCATGACAGAAGAAACAAGGGTCAGAGAGACAGAGGCTGGCAGTCTGGACTTGTCTTGGGGCTGGAGAATGTCATCCATACAGTTATGGGGGCCTCCTCTGTGCTTGAAGTGAACAGACAGCCTGACACAGTCTCTCCCTTCAAGAGCCGGGACAGTCTAAAGCAGAGACAATTAGACAGAAAGTCACCACAAAGTGTGGGGTGTATCTTCAAGAGAGGAACTGATCTAGTTTGGTGGTCTTGAAGGGATTCCAAAGAGCATTTAAGGTGAGACAGAAAGAGGGAGAACTCATGAGACAAAGAGGAAGAAGCCCACTTGGGCTGCAGAGTGGAGGGTGGGTGGAAGGGAACCAGATGAAGGCAGGGAGAGGGCTGCTGTGATCTCTGCTCCAACTGGGGCGTGGCAGAGGAGTGGCTATCAGCGGCTGGCATTGGGAGCTTATCAGGAGGTCTGACCAACAGAATGTGGACACTGCACACAAGAGGTAAGAGGGAGACAAGTGTCAAGGACAAGACCCAGGATGCTAGCTTCTGGTGGGGGCTGGGCCAGTGCTGTCCGAGAGGAACTTAATGCCAGCCACGTGTGTAATTTTAAATTTTCTAGTAGTCACATTTAAAAAGAGTAAAAAGGTGGGCCGGCCCATGGCTCACTAGGGAGAGTGTGGTGCTGGTAACACCAAGGCCACGGGTTCGGATCCCATATAGGGATGGCCGGTTACCTCAATGGGTGAGCATGGTGCTGACAACACCAAGTCAAGGGTTAAGATCCCCTTGCCGGTCATCTTTTTGAAAAAAAAAAAAGAGTAAAAAGAGGGCTGGCTGGGCCGGCCCGGTGGCCTGACAACACCAAGTCAAGGGTTAAGATCCCCTTGCCGGTCATCTTTTTGAAAAAAAAAAAGAGTAAAAAGAGGGCTGGCTGGGCCGGCCCGGTGGCGGTGGCGCACTCCTACAGTGTGCCGCTTGGGAAGCGCGGCGGCGCTCCCGCCGAGGGTTCGGATCCCATATAGGGATGGCCGGTTACCTCAATGGGTGAGCATGG